AATTCAAATAATTGTAAATGTACCCGTTAATGTAGATTTGGACAAAAAATAATTAAAGTCTGGTCAAAATACAGTGGGGTAATTCATAATTCACAAGAAATAAATCAATGGACAGTCTTCAAAATGAACTGCTATACTTAGAATGCTGGGTCAATCCTATAATGACTGTGTGGTGGGAGTTTTTTGTGTATGCCAAAGTCATGGTATGGCATGCCACATATTAACATTAAAATTTAAAGAAATTATCTCATACAACAGTCAGTACAAAATGGCTTCCTTGGACTTACTGTTTTTTTTTGGGTTTTTTTCTCTCTCTTTAGTGGAGTCTCTGTAAACGTTCAAGATCTAGCGCCATCCTGTGCTGGGGCTTTATTTGGTAACGTTTATATTTTATATTTATATATGATTCAACAATGAATAAATGCTTTCTGGTGATTGTTAAAATGATATTTATACCTATGTCATCTTCAATCTTTTTTTTGAAATGTATGAATATTTTGTTTGATTTTGTTAACTCATTCTATATCTGTATTTGCATTCTTCATGCAGGTGTCATGAACACATGTGGTGCCTTTTCAGGTGAGACCCGAATAATGTATTTATGATTTATATTTTGGAATTACATGTCTGTTCACACCCCCCCCAAAACATCCAAACACCTTGGAAAAACAAACTACAGATCATTGGTTGAAGGTTGGTTCCATATGAACCACATCAGGCTAGACATATGTAAATGCTTAACATGTTGACATTCCAATGGTTAGTGAGCATAATGTGCGCTTTATCGGCTAAACTAAGTTTCTTTGGCCTACTGCTGTGTCAAGAGTCCTCAACAAAGTGAAAACGGCATCATGTCTGTTCTAAAATGCCTAAAAGAAAGACAACGCCAACACAGTAAAAACTTCCCACTGTTTCAATTAGTGACTAAATTGCATCCCAACATAAAAAGTGCTTCACACTAGCTACTATGCAAAGTTACATATGTACAATTTGTGTTTTCCACAGGGGTCTTAATGGTGTATTTCTCAGGGTATCTCATCGAGGCTACAGGCTCATGGGCGTCTGTCTTTGCTCAAGTCACTGTGGTCAACCTGATAGGCCTCTGCACCTTCTTGGCTTTTGCCGAAGCCAGACGGATCGACATTGACTGCGTTAAGGTCAGTCACAACAACATTCATATCTGAAGCAGGAGCCTCACATGGACCAGAACCGTGGACAAGGACAACCAGCAGCTTGGAAACAACCAAC